AAGGTTCCGTTTTCCTGGAGAATGGCCTAGTTCTCGAATCGAATAGTTACCTATTTCCACATTCATTATCGAAGGAGAGACTTGAAAAAAAGACTAGTTTTCCAATCATTTTCGAATTGTTAACCAAGCCCAATGTTTATTGGGTAAGTATTTATATATGTTTGATAGCATTCACAAGAAATGACTTCGCATACTTAGTACATATATAAATAAGTAAATACTTAAGTACAAACTACCAATGCATTTTTTACATAAATATTTATTCTTCCTCCGAAATTATTTGAATGATGAATAAAAATTTATTTGTCATTTAAAACTAAAAAAAATATGAATAAAATTTTATTTTTTATTTGAATAGTTCATTCAAAAACGCCCACCCTGATATACATATACGGAAAACGTAGAGTGGCGGTCAAAAGTGGATGGATGGTGTTTCGTTTTTAATATTTAGAATGTTTTTCCAGCAAAAGTTTTTTTGATATTTTTTTTATAAAAATATTGTTCATGCTTTAACAAAAACCATATAAACCAGACTTTCAAACTTTATACGGAATTTAGAAAAATTCCAACATTTTTTATCTAAATTTCGAGCTTTTGAACCAGAATTTGTGTAAATTCTTTGGATATGCAGTTAACGAGCTTATAAAATTTTAGTAAAATAAATTCAAGTTTTGAGAGGCTAAAAAATCGCATTGATTTTTAAATTTTTTTTTGCTGGCGGCTTTTGCGTTTTTTTAATATACATAAATACCGAAATTTAGGAAAACTGGCGTTGGCGGCATAAACAAAAAAATTTATAAAAATTCTATTTAAAAAGTTGGAAATTTAAATAAAAATTTGTAGAACTTTTCTAAATTCTGTATAAAGTTTTAAAGTGTAGTTTATATGGTTTGGTTTATGTTAAACCACGAACCATATTTTTATACGAAAATTTAAAAAATTTTAGCTTGAAAAACATTCTAAATATTAAAAACGAAACACCATTAATCCATTTCTGACCACCACCGTATGTATGTATATTAATTAAAATGTGTGTATGTATATTAAATTATTAGAAAAGCCATGGTTCACCCACCCCGCCGATTTAACTGCGAAGGTTTTTGTGTTTGCGGATATTCCCCATTTACTTCAGTTGATAAGAAACCACTTCCTAGATTCTGGATTTGTTGTTGATGGAAAATTATTAGGTTCCCAAACGATTAAGCAAATGACCAATATCGTTTCAAAATCAGACGTGTCAATTTTATACAAATTAAGTGATGACCATCTTACAGTGCATGGGGCAGGTAACTAAATAAAGATTTGCAATTTGTTCCATATATCGTCGTTTAAAGTACAAAACCGCGTATCGTCATTCTGCAAACCCGCGTAACTGACATTGGCTGCCAAAAACTGGATTTGCTCACACAAGCTCTTGGCACAATCCTTATCCATTCGTCGTGGAATATACTAGCCGGAAATGCGATTGCTTTATAAAACAGAAAACCATTTTAAATTTTGAGTGTTTTTATGCTCTAGAAAATAATTTCTACAACTTCCCATACGCGGTTTTGCATTTTCCTTATACGCGCTTTTGCATTTTGTTGATACGCGGTTTTGCACTTTAAACGACGATATGTATGTATATGATATGTACATTTCCTTTGTATTTTTATAAAACAACTTAAGTGATTTTAGAAGGTTTAAATTGGGTAAAAAAAATAAGTTTTACTTTAAAGATTTTATATCTTTACAAAACTTCTATTAAAGGGGCATCTTAAACAACCGCTATGGCTAGTTAATCGTTAAAATGTTGATTGGTATCGCAATGAAATATTAATTTTAAGAGAAAATGGCCTAATTCCAAATCAGTTGTTTTAAAAAATGCAACAAATATACACAAGTAATATGTTTATGCCGATTCTGGACCAGTGCAGTTGCTAGCAGCGCTGCTTGCACCGGTCCAGAATCGGCATATGGTTTGCCGCTTGCACCGGTCCAGAACCGCTATACGGTTTGCTGGTGCTCTGCCGCAAGCTTTGCTGCTCCGCCAAAAGATGTCGCCGATCGTAATCCAAGTTCAGAACCCAGATAAAAGCCGCAAGATGTCGCTGGTGACAAATCTGAGTCCGGAACCGGAACCGATCACAGGGTGTTCCGCTGATGGAAATCCAAGAAATCCGATACAAGGTGGTTTATATGTCGAAAATTGGTAAAGTGTATGTATGTGCATGTGTATGTATTCTCATACATACATCTATATGCAAACGTACATACATACATATGTATATACATATATACATGCTCCACCCCTAGAAAAGTGTGTTAATAATGTTCACATAGTTAATTGCTAAGTATTTAATATGTATGTGTATATGAATGGAAAGGCCTGTTTTTGTTGATGATGAGAACAAATAAAATTTAATTTGAAATAAAAGAAAGTTTTATAATTACTTATTTATTTTGATAATAAGAATTTTAAACATAAATGTCCGCAATTATATGAATTATAGCTTTGCTGTTTATTATAGTTACATATATTTCATGTTTTTTCCTAAATACTTTATTATTTGCTTAGGAGGCTGTAAGTTTCCAAAGCTATCGAAGTAATCAATCTCGTTATCGTTTTTCCAGTAAGCTACCCAATGCGTTCCCGCACCCTTTGAACTATCCAAATTTATTATTCCACATTCTCTCTTAAATGGTTTACGGGGTAAAGTGTCACACATAAATACCCCTCTAAAATTTGGAATAAATTTTGAATACTTCTTTAAGACTACATCAGTAAGAGGTCTTCTGGGTAGCTTCATGAAGAGTTTTTTTGATATGGTTTTAAATATAATCCGAATCCCTTTTTATAAGGCTTTAAAAACATTCCTTTTCCCATTGAAATAGCTTCCATTGTATTATTATGACGTTTGGCCTCCAATAACTGCTCCTTTCCAGTTTTTATAGCATTGATTGTTTTAATAATTCCTGCTGTACCGCCAGATAGACTTCCAAGTGCTCCTAACGCTACGAATAAAGGCGCTAATGGTATTACACGTGGTGCTTTTATTATAGATTTTTTTCCTCTAAAAATATTATTTACAACCTTTCGTGAAATTTTTATTGCATCTTTTAAGTTATCACTTTTCTTCAAATTTTGTTTAGCACTTTTTAAAGCATGTTTGAAGAGATGATAACCAGTTTTTCCTCCCACTTTCTTAGTTTTACTATAAATGTTCCCCATATCGAATTTCGTTTATGTCTTCATTATATTTGTAACTAACCAAGCATTTGTTTTCTCATTAAGATTGCTATCCTTCGGTTTAACTCTTTCCCAAGCCTTCTCAATTAATTTTTTATCAGCAATATGTCGGTTATCTAAATCTTTATTATATAAATATGATATATCATGTTCTCTACAAGCAGTGTCTAGTAGATTAATCCCTCGATCTCCTCTTACTAACAGTTTCCGTAGTTTCGTTCCAGGTTCACAAAATTGATAACTAGGCAAATGAAGTTTTATAATTACTTATTTATTTTTATTTATTATTAGATATTTAATGAAGAAATAAATTTTCTTAATATTATTACATTTTTTTCAGCACATATCATAGAATTTTCATGATATTTACATGTATGTATTTATATTTATATTTTTAATATATAAATTCTTTAAATTTGGACAATTTAAATCTTCTAAATTATATAAAATAATATCGTATCCGAATAAACGTTGAATCCATCTGATTTTCTCCAATCCCTTAGCATAGAATATATAATTTTTTCTTTTCATTAATGAATGGATATATTCAATAACAGCCATTAAAGTCGAATCACCATCTTCCCATTTTAATCCATGATGATTATGATATAACCAGTTATTAGTTGTTTTATCCCGTATCGTCAACTTAGATTCTTCAAAAGGAGGTTGAATAAGAAACGTTGTTATATATAAATCATATGTTGATATGCTGACTTCTTTAGCAATAAATTTCCTATTAAAATAGAATCCCTGAACATCTATAACCAACGTATAT